TGTCACAGTTTCTGAAACATTTTCCAGTATTTTCCAGGGGCTCTTTCAGATATGGATATAGATGCATTATATGGTAATGGACATTTAGCCTTTAAAGAAATTTGCTTTATTCAGTATGAAATATATTTCAAAATATTACATTACACTGTAGATTTAGACAGATTGCATTAATGTCTACTGGAAACTGTAGGCTTCAGGCTAGTTTATGAGCATTACATCAATGTTGTGCCTTGATCACACTGTACAATTGATGCTAATGTTTGTACACATTTTTTTTCTGGAAAAAAGTGTTCATGCAATGCACTAAGGGAAAAATATTTGTCGTTATTTATAAATGCAGGTTTCCCAGCATTTTCAGTCAGAATCTCACCATTTTCAGCAAAGAAGATTCACAATCCTCCTGACTGTGCTATTTCCAATCTTCATTTACTCTCTTTGTTCATACACAGATAGGAAAGAGAAAGATAGATCAGCTACACAGGATGAAGTTTGGTTCGATTCTCCTATGTGACCTTCTCAGGTGGCACAGTGGCATGGTGGTTGGCATTGCGGCCTTGCAGCACTGGGTTCAGTCCTGGACCTGGGGTGCTATCTGTGTGGAGTTTGTATGTTCTTTCTGTGTTCACGTGGCTTTTTGGTAGCTCCTTCCTCCCACAGCCCAGAAACACACTGGTAGGTTAATTGGCATCTGGAGGAATTGGTCCTGGTGTGAGTGTGTGCCCTATGATGGTTTGGTGGTGGCCAGTGATGGATGGTTTCAGGGTGCAGGGATGCGAGGAGTCATGGCGCAGTTGAGTGAAGGGTTGAGATGAGTTTAATTTGTGATAAAAACGGCCATTTCTGGAGAACACTGGGAGAAAACACATGAAAGGTGCATCCCCCACAACTTCCCAAAATACAGCAGTGTTACAGCAAGTTTCATAAGCCAGATTTCTGTCATGGTCACCCTACGTTACTACCACGAAAAGGTGTGTTTAAGTGATCACTACCTATCCAAATCAAGAAAACACTTCCACTTATGGCACAATGGCTCTTCTTGATAATGTCATCCCTGCCTTTCAGTTACCCCTGAAGTGTCATGTGCAACAGCTATTTCTGACATGTCACAGGTGTTTGTTTCAAGCCAGGTCAGGTGTAATGAGCCCGGGTCAGAGTCAGATTTCTACAAGGGTGTATCCTGCCTTGGACCTGTTGCTTGCAGGGATAGGCTCAGGCTCCCCGCAGCCCGGAATTGGAAGAAGCAGTTCGTGAATGGATGGGAGCGGCTTTCTTAAACATTCCTCTGAACATCTGAAGGAATCCCATCCCATGTGCCGTGGGAAATTCAGGCCTCAGTCAGTTCTGATTATAGCTTGTTTTGCCTTTTAGATATGAGGAGCTGTATTAAAGTGAAAGAGCCAAATCAAATCATAGCTGACAGTGGCCGGGTGAGTGTGGTGAAAACTGATCCTAACAATACAGCGGTCTGACTAGTGATTACTTGACCTGGCTATGCAGTGTGTTGGTCAGGAGACAAAATACTGCAGCATTTAGAAATAACATCATTCTGGAAAGTGCCTCCTTTGTATTGCAGCTTAATTACTTGTTTTTTGTATCTGGTGGAAGCAGGAGCCTATGAAAAGACTAGGAGAGGTCTCCTTACAGCTAAAGTCTTATCTGTTATTAGGAAAACAAGTGTCTTTGAAAGAGATAAAAGTAATCTCAGGAGATTTCAGGTAATATTTGTGATTAATGTTGTGTTGGTTGTAATGTTGAATTTATTTTTCTGTATTTTAAATCTAACACTAGCAATTCATATTCATGATATAAAATCCTTTGTTCCTCTATAAAGGGACACCAGCCGCACATGCTGGAGTTCGATGCAGTTTGGGATGAGAGTGCTTCTCAGAAAGATGTCTATGAATCAACCGCTAAGGTAAGTATCTTGTTTCTCAGCGCAGCACAAAATAACAAGATTCTGATTTTGACTTGCTCAGTGCAGTGTGGCAGCATTGCAAGGCACAGTCAGGATGGTCATTCTGATTATGAAAACTTGATGAGCCTCTTTTCACCTTTCTTGGCTTTTTTCTGTTGAGCTTTGCTTTTTCGAGGTCTTACTTCCCTTAAGACAGTGTATTTCTTTCAAGCCTTCCTCACCACTATAAGGATCATTTATCTAGGAGAAGGTGTTACAATGTCTTGAGAGAGCCAAAGATGAAAATTGTCTTGTCAATTTATCTACCAGAGGCATACATTATCTCAGCAGGACAAACCTCTATATATACAGTATGCAGGCCATGCTAATGTAGGGCATGTAGGGCAGAGACACTGCAGAGTTAGTAGAAAGCATTCTTACTTTTGGTATCATGGTGGGATATTGTAGCCTGAATATTCAGAATAAGGGGGATTGTTAATTGACAGGACACAATAATGAGGTGGGGTGTCAATCAGCCAATCCTATCTGGCTCTTCTTTGTGAAGTGGAAGGAAAACAGATAACCTGCGGGAAACAGAAGGGAGACGCAAACACAACAAATAAAAGTAACAGTACACTTTTACCTGTAATCCCACAAAGTTGTGTTATTCTGCCCCTTTGGAAAGCCTAGTTTTAAAACTCTTGTCTGATAGTTTTTTAGACTGGAAGGATTCACTCGCTGCAGTCCAGCACTGATCAAGCTCTGTTGTTGCTCTTGTCTCCTTTTATCTGTCCTTTCAGCCTCTGGTAGACTTTGTGCTACAAGGATACAATGGCTGTGTCATCACCTATGGATCTGCAGGCAGTGGGAAGACCTACACGTTACAGGGAGGGAGTCTCACTGGGAAACAGCGTGGAATAATAACCAGAGTGGCTGAAGACGTATTCCGCTGTATCCCTTTACACGCACGCCAGTGAATGACAGGCTGCTTTTCCCTGTGAACTGTGCAGTAGTTCCCTGCATGAAGGGAGGTGTTGCAAAGCAAATCTCAGTACAGTTATGCAAAGCCATTCTTTAATCTTAGTCTCTGCAACTCTTTTATTTGGTCCTTAGGGATATTGTTTATATGTATTAAAAAAAACTTGTTTTTACAGTAAATCTGCTGCCTAATTATTGGCTAATTCATGTTGCTTCTGTTTATGGGATATTTGATGTATTTTTTTAACAAATCTCCCATGGGGAAAAACTCTTATTTGAATGACCTTATCATTCATTTGTGCTACCAGTATTATCATGCCGAATGTATAGCGGCACAGTGCGTTTCACAGAAAAGCGTACCTTAATTTCTCACACAGCACCAGAAACATCAAACTGCAAGATTAGAGCCTCATTCATTCATATTTCTAATGAGAAGATTTACGACCTTTTGGTAAGTTGTTTCTGTGTGCACGCCGTACCAGTGTGAGTATAAATGCTACGGTCTGTCTTTCACCCTTCTCTACTTGCCAGGTGCTCACCAGTACCTGAGAAACACCTGATGTTTTCAAGCCTTTTCAGACACAGGTTCAGCCTGAAAGGATTTCTCTTTCTCCATGTACACGACCCACTTGGCTTTGTCCTTCTTTCAGAAGTGGGACAGGTGTGGGGTTTATCTGCAGTCCTCTGCAGGCGCACTGGTCCTGCAGCGTATTCAGCGTTTGCCTTCCTGCTCCAGGACGGCCAGCCGGCAGAGGTGTGCCGCATCCACGAGAGTGAGGAGACGGTGTTCTTGGAAGGGCTGACAGAGGTGGAAGTGACGTCCGCCCAGAGCCTGCTGCAGCTCTACAGACGGGGCACTGCCAACAGACACACGGGTACCCACCTTGTCGTATGGGGGGCTTCTTCCTGACAGCTGCACTGCGTCTGACGTTTGGGTATCATAGTATAGGATATGAAGCACAAAGAAAAAGACTCAACATTTCACCCATTTCACCCATGAAGCCTTCTTATGTGTGAGGGGAGAGAGCACACCAGCTCTCAGGGACTAATTCCCTTTTCACCCACTCCGTTCATCCACAGATTTTTCAGACAGATTCCTCCCCCCAGATTTCCAGCCACGTGGACACTCTTTGTCGCCTGCTGTGCCCCTTTTCTGTTCTCCTTCCTCTCCCCTTTGCTGCATATTTCTGGGGCCGTTTCTCTGTCCCACCCTTGTGGAACGGTCCTCTGCAGCCCTGGCTCTCTGACACCGCTCTCCACTCGAGCCTCATCACAGCATGAAGTCAAGACAGCCCGCATACGCTGGGGCATTCAGCTTGAGCTCCAACGGGCAGGAAAATAATTGTTTTAGCCTTAACCACCTTAGCTGTATTTCCCTGGGCATCATGTTTCAATGTATGTAAGGGTCATTCGTCCAGTTTAATAAGCTTATTTCTATTACTTTTCTAACTTCATGAAAAGGAGTCATTTCTTTTTTTTTCATCTACAGGAGTGTTGAAGGGTGAGTTTGCCAGTAAGAGCCATACAATATTCAATATCATCGTCATCAACACACCAGTCAATGAAAATGATAGTAAGCCTTCTTTCATTTGCCTGTTAGAATTAGTAGATTTTTAAGCCAGCTCCAAATAGCTACAACTAAAAGCTCCCTGTGTCAGTTAGTTTAGAAGATGAAGCAAGTCACAATACTTCTGTTTTCTGTTCTGTTTCCTCAAAGACCTAAATAATGTGAATTATGTAGTATGTAGTTGACGTACTTCAGTATCCAGTATATTCATATTTTGTCCATTAATAGCATTGAACACTGAATGAGTGTTGTAGTAATTCTGTTTTCACCCACTGTACAGATTAAAGCTTAAAGCTTAAAGCAAGATGCAAAAGATGAAAACTTGTTGTTTAATTTAATATATATGCCATCCTAGCTTATTCAATTTAAAGCATTTAACAGGGCTTTACATTTTTTTAGCCCATAAAGGAACAATGACAGCCAGCAAGCTTACACTGGTAAGTGTTTATTCTTAATGTTTAAGTATATTGTGGTCATATATATAATAAAACCTATTTATGGTTTGGTGGAGTCTAGACATTCTGTTAGAATAGGGTGGTATCTCTCTTTAGGAACAGTATTATTGTCCCCTGTGTGCCTAGAATTATTAATAGATATGAATCTAACTTTGGAGTTTTTGAGTTGTTCTGCTGTATTCAAGAACTTGTTTATGTTGTTGATCTGGTAACCATTTACCATCTTACATCCACTGAAAACAGCCTCTTAGTTTAAATAAAGTGCACTTTTGCATTACCAGTGTTATTTTTTTAACATAAAACGCAGAAAATACTGCTTTGGAGCATTGTATTTGTATCTTAATTTTAGGGGCTTTCCTGCGTGGGTTTTGATCTGACGTGTTGATTTTCCCCGGATGAGATGTTTCTTGGTTTGTTCAGGAATCCCATTGTCTGCCTCTCTAGATGCCCATGATAATTTTAACAGCTTCTGTCCTCTTGAGTGACTGTACGAAAAGAGGCCATAGGGCATGGTGTTAATAATGACCACATAGGCCCTCATGAACTTCTGCAGCATAAAAACATTTTTTTGGGCTATTGGAATGATTGAAGCATTGTTTCTTTCCATATGGATGTAAAGAATAAGCTATATATGTATTCATATCTTCAACAGGTTGATCTTGCTAGCTCAGGCAGAGTAAGTATTTTCATCAATTT